TGCAGACTTTGCAAGATATATCTATAAGTGTTTGGAGAACAGAATTGGAACGAATGAGAAATCTCTATTTTTTATGATCTGTAATACTAAAGTAATTATAAGTGATTTTTTTTTTATACATATGGAATGACTTACCAGTGGATAAACAAATTGTTTTGGTTTGTGGTTCCTCCATCTCATATTTAAAAATGGAAGGAGTACCTAGATTCATTTATATAAATTTTACATAAATCTTTGTCCCATATTTGTTGTGATTCATGGAAAAATATAACTAGTGATGATGACAAATTGAAGGTTATATTTATGATAAATACTTGAATGGGTCATTTAGAGAACAGAATGTAGGAAAAGACTGACTTGCTACCACACTGATAGTAAAGACATGCACAACATCAGTATATTGCATAATTACTTACTTTCTGTGGCACTTTTTTGTTGTTTCTGCATTAATCTTGAGTTTAAAGCTCTATGAAATGTATTCAGAATTATGAGCTACGTGATGAGGCGAGTTGTGTATTTACAGGTTTCTGTTTCAATTCTTCCTCGTGTTTACTTGTAATGGTTGCTTATACAGTTACCCTAAAACTAGTTAAACAAATGTGAAAGAATATCACTGTCACAGCTTGGTTTGGGGCTTTTAAAGTAAGTACCTTTTGCAGATTTTGAAATGTCAAAAATTCCCATGAAACCAGATACACTAAAAGTTACTAAGATAATACTCTTCAAGTTTATTAAAAGGTTTGGTACTTTTTATTTATACTTATTTTTTACTTTTTATTTTTACAAATACTATGATTGTATTTATTTTGCCTCTGTGATATATTACCAGTATTATGTCTAGCCCTATTGTTCTTTGCAGTTTGAAATACAAATTTGAACTTGGAAGTATGTAGTTTGTACCCATTTTCCAAAATTGGCATCTGGTAACGTTTTTTGTTGCAAAATAATGAGCAATAAAAGAAAATGTTTGCCTAAATACACTTTTGTATTATTAATGATACTGTTTTATGTTGTGGATATCATGTAATTGTAAGTTAGGGACATTTTAGGGCAAGATGTGGCAAGAAATCACAATTAATAAATAATAATTTATTAAATTTCAAGATATGTTATATTGACATTAATTGGTATATGCTAACTGTCTTAGTGGAGAATCTGTATTTTTCATACAATCATGAAAATATTAAAGGCACTGTATATGATAGGACATTGATTATACTCAAGTCAAAATGTATGGAACAGGTACTACAAAGAATAAAAAGCAACAACAAGTACTGTAGCATTATTGACCTCAGTATACTGTGTTTAGCAAGGTAAATCCACTGACTGAATGATATTCTGTCATATTTTTTTTTACAACCAGTAACCTTTATTCTTTCATCATTCAGCATTGCAAATGCGTGAACTTTCAGTTTTGACTCTTCTGTCCAAAACACTTACAATTAGAAGTGGGGGCATGTGTTTTGGATACAAGAGTTATAATTTGTGGTTCACTCATTGAAATGTCAAGGAGTGAACTTGATCCTAGTACCTTAGGACATTATAAGAATCATAATATCAATAATGATAATGACAGTATCAGTATTAATAGCATTAGAAAAAAAAAATCCTGTAAATTCAAGGAATGGGGAAATCAGGTAACATCATGTACAGCCTATTAATTGACTTCTTGGTGGCTAAGCACTTGTGGAGCCATTTGTGTGCAACAAAACTTGAAAACACTGTAGCGAGTACATTTACACGGAATGAGAAGCTACTTTGCTTTCATCCATGAGTATGAAGAAATGCATATTCCACAATACTGCTGTCGTGCATAAAACACTCAGGCTATCTTTCTAGATTCTTCTGATCCTGCACTGTGTTTTTGTTATCCTTTTGAAAAGAAATAAACTAGTAAATACATCTGGTTCATATTCTGTGAAATTAAGAATGACATCTTCCCAATCATTTTGTTAGTTATTTGTCTGAGTAAGTTAAGTATCTTTTTGGTGAACTTGTACCCATACCCCATATTATTTATAACATCCCATGTAGTTCAAGCCTTTAACTTACCAGGATTATTGTCACATTCCTAGTGCGAAGCCAAATCCAGACAACTTCTGTTAGACATCTGTGACTAATCATGACTGGAAGTAGTCAGTACTACCAATAGGTGATTGAATATAGAATGGCCACTGAATGATCTTTTGCAAGTATGGGCACAAGCATTCTGCCACTCCTGCCTGAGTGTGCTGTCTTTTTTGCCTTTTACCTCTGTTGCTAGAATAATGAGTAGTAGGGCCTTGAAAAAGGAATTTTCTTTTTCAGTCACTTCTGTTCTTGAGAATCTTGCCCCACTTGACTCTATCGAAATATTGCGGCCTAAGGTACTTCTGGAAAAATGCAGCTATCTGCCTAATCAGTTGGTATTAATTATCATGCAACATTTGCCACTTCCTCTTCTTATAGTGGCATTCTTCAGGGATATACCCTTTCCTTCTCTTTTCTATGATGAGTCAACCAAACACTCCTCTTCTACCTTTATTATTTAGCCCTGTATTATTCAGACTTTTATTGACTCTAATTCAGAGATTATCTATCTTTGAGAAAATGTTTGATTTTGACTACACATCAGTTAAAAATGCTGACAAGCCTACTAGTGACATTATATACTCTTGTCTTTAACATTAGGTATACTATCACTTCTCCAAAGCCTTGTATAAATCAAACTTTTAGTGTCAATATTTCCTGCCTGTCCTACTACTATTTAGTCATCTGAAGGAAACAAAATTTCACTCTTCACACATCAGTTTTCTCAAGGATATATTTCTGAATCTTCAGACTGCAAAACTTGCTGTATATCAGTTGCTTGAATTTTATTTTGACCTCACTCATCTATATTCCTAACCAATGATACTGCTCATAATTCCACATTCTCTGGTGTAAAATCAAAAAATGCAATTTTTTCTTCTGGAAGGTCTCTTTTAAAATTTGCCAGTTTTCTTGATGGATGACATGGTACCTTTTTAATTTAATTGTAGAACTATTAAACTGAACAGTTTTAGTCTCTGGACTTTACTTCTTAATTTGGTGATATTTTTACAAAAATGATATATTGTTAATAAATAAATTTAGCATTAATCAAAGTTTTGCTTGTCAGCAATATTCATGCACTTCTGAGTGGTCTTCCTCTATGGTAAGTTTTATACCACCTTTTTCTTATAGGATATCTACATGTTTTGTACCATTTTTTCCAGGTTTGAGAATTGCGATTTTAGATTACGTTTGAGATCACTGCAGGTTTTTTTCTAACAAGTTTCAGCCACTGATTGCAGCTTACTATTATTTCTTGAAGTTGAACTGATATCATAATTTTTTTTTTAATGAAAATCACAGGTTGTGTTTTTGTGCTTTGTCACTCTTTGCTCTTTTGTCTTTACTTGAGGGTTAACTTTGGTTATAGTGCATCCAGAAAAGAAAAGTTATTTATATTTAAACCATGTCACACAGTTTATAATGTTTCTTTCTTCCTTTTTGTCTTGAGGGATATCAAAACTCAAGTATGTTTAAAGGTATATTATGTATGATATCTCAGTTTTCTGTTTTCACAAAATGTATCTATAGTCATGTTTGTACCCTAATAAGCAGTAACAAATATAATGCTTGCTAAATTCATTCTACTCCAGTTATTTTATGTGTAACTGCTTTCAGTTATGTTCTTATACAACAAATTATTATACAACTGAAAAAATACCAATATCATAGGGTTTCAACCCCATTGGTTTTGGGAGCGTGCACTGTCTACTTTAGTTTTGATTTGTCAATTACGTTTACACAAGATGACTTCAAAAGACTTTATTAGGACTACTTGGCTTCACATGTTCAACCTCTTCTTTGAATTTTCAGGAAAAGTTATTTCTAATATTGTTATCATTATCAATATAACAATGATTATTATTATTATTAAAACATTAATACTGCTAGTAATTAAATTTTTTTTGTTGTTGAAAATTCTGGCCTTGTAACTGACATATTGGTGGCAAGGCACATCTGAAGCCATCTACGTGTAAACAAAATGAATGTGTTTTAATCATTGTGGACAGGGCATGCCTTTTTGCCCTCTGTGTTAAAGGTTGTAAATCTTGCAGGTTCATAGTAAAAAATATTTTCTTGACAATTAATTAAAGGCCCCAGAATAACATTTTTAGCCATATTAACCCCTTGGGTCCAGGTGCTTCATGGCAATCACATGGCCCAAAATATGGGCTTTTTTAGACTCACACGAGTGGGTACTCTACCAGGTGCGTGGCTTATAGGCCAGGTGCATGCGAACACTCATGTGCAGAAACAAAGACTATGCCTCACCTTTTTATGCATAAGCATTTTCTTTTTCTTTTTTCTTTTTTTGTAATATTCAAATTTTTTGTAATACAACCTGTGTTGTCGGTCACAGCGGCCAAGAATAGGATGCTGAGCATGGATGTCCTCCCTAGAGTCAACATTCTTCCAGTCATGACTCACAGACACTACATTCCACACTCGTTCATTGATGGGAATAATAAAAATACTCCTTTCTAAACTCCAAATGAGTCTATGTACCCTATCAAGAGGTTTGGGAACTCGTGGCAAATCTTTTCTGTCACCCTGTCTTACACCTGAAATGCTTACAACGGCAAGTTCGCATCACCCATGACAACAGGTTCATGTCACCTGCCCCCTCAAGCCAAATTTTTTCATAATATGATGGTCACACTATCCAGATCAAAGGGGTTAATAATAATCTTACTAATACATAAATACTACAAGTTTAAAATTTAACACACATAGTGAAAGCTGTTAGTCAATAGTTTATACAACAAAATTAGGTTGGTAATAACAGAATATGTCCTTAAAGCAGGAGACATACATACATATATACATATGTAAACCTATCGGAGTACTTCCAATTAGAATACATTCAGACATAAGTCAGGACAATCAGTTACATTATGTAAACTTCTAAGCCAATTTATACTGAAAGCATAACCTGTTGTATATTCAACCACTATGAATATGCAGAAAACAATTCAAGACATACAATAAAATAGGAGAACATGGGCAAACATTAAGCACTGTCATTTTTTAATCTGGATGCTTTTTGAGCAGGTAAATAAGGGAGGCACTGAAAATGATTTGTGTGAAGCAGGAACATCTATGGATCAAAATATATATAACCTAACCAAAGTGATTTCAAAACCACAAAAGTGCTTTTTGTGAAATATTCTGAATAAATCTGTTCCTTTCCCAGTCATTCTGTCTGTCATCTGATGCAAGTTTATATCTGAATATGGAAAGGATTATCCTCAAAACTTCATATGTTGTTATGCTTTTCATTTTTGTGAAGTTAGTATTTACTCCTATAGTAAGTTTCAATATATTGATTGAGTGACACTTCAGGGGCGTGGAAACAATCAGCTTTATTTTCCACCTTTGTTCGCCGAACATTTGTCATTGTTGAACCTGAAATAATTAAATTTAAATTATCTCATACTAAGTCTTATAAAATAATTATATTTTGGTTGCAATAGAAAAATAATGATAAAAGACAATTTTTTTCTTTTTTTTTTTTGTAAATGCTACATAATTTAACTTTCCTCACTGTTACTTTCAATTAAAAATTATCATTATTACCCATAAAGTGAGATTTATATGTTAAACTGAAAGATGAAATTTTGTTGTTAAGTTACAGCTACTTCTATCCTTTTTTTAATAAGATCTTTAACTTTATAATTAACTTGAGACATTATTTACATACTTTTAGAACTTAAGAGGTTGTACTCGCAGAGGGCATGGACTAAGAGGCGCTGGAAACTAGTAAGTTCCTGGGTTATGTACACTGTTGTTGGGTCTACAGTAAACAACTCAACAATTTCATCTTCTAGGTCCTTCAGGATACCCTGTAAAATCAATATAAAAAGTTAACAATGGATATTACAAATAATAAATATGATATAAGATATGAATACATGCAATTATTTTCCTTCTCTGAAGAAGAGGAAGAAAAATGAGAGAGAGAGAGAGAGAGAGAGAGAGAGAGAGAGAGAGAGAGAGAGAGAGAGAGAGAGAGAGAGAGAGAGAGAGAGAGAGAGAGAGAGAGAGAGAGAGAGAAATACTTGTCAAACTAACCACAGGGAACTGCCTTCCTTTCAGCATTTTGCGCAACTGAGGCTTCACTTCCCAAAAACGTTGCTCAGTGGTATAAGCTGGGTGCATATTTCGACAGTCACTCATTGGTGGAATCACGGTGAATCCTGTAATTGAAGTAGTCTTATCTTTTAGTACGGGATGCTTTCAACAAAACATAATAGACTATTGCACTGTATAGCCAAAATCTAAAGAAAAGCCTACCGTCTTCCTCAAGTGGCTCTTCCATCTTCCCCTTTTCAATGTTTTTGACACGTTGAGTAAAGGAAACTCCACCAATGCCACTGCTTCTTGTATTTTCTCTCCTTTTACAAATGGTGTTCAAATAATGTTCTTGCCTGTCTTCACTCAGAGAAATGAAGTACTGCCAGATCTAGTCCAGAAATATATCAAGAGTAGTATAAATAGGAATTCAAAAAAATACTTATCATGGTATTAACTGCATCACTCTAATCCTGACTAATATAGGTCTCATTATTCCTAATCAGCTTGAGATGAATTAACAAGCACTGATTATCAGAAAATCACAATGACAGTAAACAGAACTTACCCTCATCTTGTCACAATCATTGAAGAGCTTGGTGAATATGCCTTCAGAGTTGGGTGCAACGGCCATATCGTCATTGACACCTTCCTGGTCATCTTCAACCAGGGTTTGCAAAGCTTGAGCTAAAAGTGGTGAATATGACACTTTATACAGAAGAATATACTCAAAGACACTGTAAAGTGTGTATTTCTCATATAACTTACTTGTATATTGCAAATACATTCCTTTATATTTTCTTAGATTCTAATTTAAGGGAAAGGTAAATTCATCTTGGGGAAAAAAAATCTAGAAATCCTGATAAAACTAAAAGTACAAAAAAGGACAAATAAGAAAACATGAATGGAAATATATGAATCCCAACATAAAATTCTAAGATTCATTTTGCATGCAAATACTACAGAAGTAGGATTAAAAAAAAAAGAAAAGAAAAAAAGAAATCTATATTTGCATATATATATATATATATATATATATATATATATATATATATATATATATATATATATATATATATATATATATATATATATATATATATATATATATATATATATATATATATATATATATATATATATATATATATATATATATATATATATATATATATATTTACTTCTTGTACAGCAGAATCTATTTGAAAATACAGCACCTTAATTACTCCAATTAGATCCATGATAATGTTTAGGATAACATTTCAAAACACTCGCCATTGTCAGCCCTTCGAGTCTTCCTTGCACCCGTGCGTCTCCGCTGGTGGTGGTGGTGCTGCTCCAGCCGCTGAATAAGCA